TTTCTTATTTCTTTTCACAACTGTCTAGTACCTCATTATGTTTATGAACTAGTTTGTTTGATGTCTCCTGTGTATGGTAAAGTAGGTGGTTTCCACTGTTTTGTTATTATAAATAATGTTGAAATGAATCATCTTTGGTAATTTTTTTCCTTGTTGTTACATATGTAGTGTCAGGACTAGGGTTGGCTGGTTCAAAATGAAATTTTGTTAGCTTTCCTCAAAATATCTTCCAAGGGAATTGTGCTATATGCATCTCCCAGCAATGTGTGAATGAGAATGACTATTTCCCAATAGGCTCACGAACAATGTATGAAGGTACTTCAAACATTTTGTGGAAAAGTTAAATTAAAATTCAAGTGTATTTTGGCGACAATACTTTTTGAAATACATGTATAGTTTTTTTTTCATCTTTTTAAAGATCCCTCATGTTATCAAACTTTTGAAATTTTTACCAATTTGATAGTTGAAAAACATCCCTTCTCTGATCGTGTGACGTTTAATATTTTTCCTTTTATTTGGAGCCTTTTGTATATTTTTCCCACTTAATCCTCCCTCTGTCCCACCATGTACCTATAGCTTGATTTCAGAGTTTACAAATTATATACATGAATTAAAATTTAGAAATATTTATTTTAAAAAATACAACTTAAGTCATTAAAATATACTTAGTTGCAAAGATAAGACCATAAACCAGATATCTGTATTTCTAGTTTGCTTTTCCACTAAGCTACTAATTTGTTCTCAATTCCTTTTTTCCTCATGTCAGGGAGGAAAAATCTTCTCTGATTACAAAATGGTATCCTTTGTCAAAGATGAGTTGGCTGTATGTTTTTTGGGGTTTATTTCTGAAGTCTTTACTCTGTTCCATTGGTCCTCGTGTCTATTTTTGTGCCAATATCATGCTGTTTTGATTATCACAGCTAGGTAGTATATTTTGGGGTCAGGAAGTGAGATGCCACCTATTCCAGTCTTCTTGCATAGGATGGCTTTAGTAAAATGGAGTCTTTTATGGTTCCAGACAAATTCTATGATTGTCTTTTCTAGATCTGTGAAAAATATCTCTTGTAATTTTACTGAGATTACCTTAAACATGTAGATTAACTTGGGTAGGATTGCCATTTTTATTATATTGATTCTACCAATCCAGGAATATGGGAAGTCACTTTTTAGTGTCCTTTTCAATTTCCTTTTTAAGATTTTCATAGTTTTCCTTGTAGAGATCTTTGACTTCTTTGGTTAGTTTTATTCCTTAGTATCTTATACTTCTTGTGGCTATGGTATCTGCCTGCAGAAAGATGAATCTGAACCCCTATCTGTCACCATTAACAAAAATCAACTCAAAGTGGATCAAAGATCTAAACCTAAGACTGCAAACTATAAAACTACTGGTGGAAAACACTGGGGAAACTCTGTGAGCATTCAACATACACTCTTTTCTATCTTACTATTTCCCCTTAACCATATGTCCTGAAATCACTCCGTACTGGTTCCCAGTGATCTTTCTTATTTCTTTTCACAACTGTCTAGTACCTCATTATGTTTATGAACTAGTTTGTTTGATGTCTCCTGTGTATGGTAAAGTAGGTGGTTTCCACTGTTTTGTTATTATAAATAATGTTGAAATGAATCATCTTTGGTAATTTTTTTCCTTGTTGTTACATATGTAGTGTCAGGACTAGGGTTGGCTGGTTCAAAATGAAATTTTGTTAGCTTTCCTCAAAATATCTTCCATGGGAATTGTGCTATATGCATCTCCCAGCAATGTGTGAATGAGAATGACTATTTCCCAATAGGCTCACGAACAATGTATGAAGGTACTTCAAACATTTTGTGGAAAAGTTAAATTAAAATTCAAGTGTATTTTGGCGACAATACTTTTTGAAATACATGTATAGTTTTTTTTTCATCTTTTTAAAGATCCCTCATGTTATCAAACTTTTGAAATTTTTACCAATTTGATAGTTGAAAAACATCCCTTCTCTGATCGTGTGACGTTTAATATTTTTCCTTTTATTTGGAGCCTTTTGTATATTTTTCCCACTTAATCCTCCCTCTGTCCCACCATGTACCTATAGCTTGATTTCAGAGTTTACAAATTATATACATGAATTAAAATTTAGAAATATTTATTTTAAAAAATACAACTTAAGTCATTAAAATATACTTAGTTGCAAAGATAAGACCATAAACCAGATATCTGTATTTCTAGTTTGCTTTTCCACTAAGCTACTAATTTGTTCTCAATTCCTTTTTTCCTCATGTCAGGGAGGAAAAATCTTCTCTGATTACAAAATGGTATCCTTTGTCAAAGATGAGTTGGCTGTATGTTTTTTGGGGTTTATTTCTGAAGTCTTTACTCTGTTCCATTGGTCCTCGTGTCTATTTTTGTGCCAATATCATGCTGTTTTGATTATCACAGCTAGGTAGTATATTTTGGGGTCAGGAAGTGAGATGCCACCTATTCCAGTCTTCTTGCATAGGATGGCTTTAGTAAAATGGAGTCTTTTATGGTTCCAGACAAATTCTATGATTGTCTTTTCTAGATCTGTGAAAAATATCTCTTGTAATTTTACTGAGATTACCTTAAACATGTAGATTAACTTGGGTAGGATTGCCATTTTTATTATATTGATTCTACCAATCCAGGAATATGGGAAGTCACTTTTTAGTGTCCTTTTCAATTTCCTTTTTAAGATTTTCATAGTTTTCCTTGTAGAGATCTTTGACTTCTTTGGTTAGTTTTATTCCTTAGTATCTTATACTTCTTGTGGCTATGGTATCTGCCTGCAGAAAGATGAATCTGAACCCCTATCTGTCACCATTAACAAAAATCAACTCAAAGTGGATCAAAGATCTAAACCTAAGACTGCAAACTATAAAACTACTGGTGGAAAACACTGGGGAAACTCTGTGAGACATTGGGGTAGGCAAAGACTTCTTGAGCAAGACCCCGAAAGCACAGGCAATAATCCCCCAAGTAGACAAGTGGGATTCCATCAGATTAAGGAATTTCTGCACAGCAAAGGACACTGTAATTAGTGTGAATTGACAACCCTCGGAATGGGAGAGAATTTTTGTTAACTCAGATAAGGGACTGATAAACAATACACAGGGAACTCAAGCAGCTTACCTGGAAGAAAATGATTAACCCAATTAAAAGATGGGAAAATGAGCTGAATAAACAACTCTCTAAAGAAGACATATGAACAGCCAAAAAGCATATGAAAAAAATGCTCAACATCCCTCGTTGTAAGGGAGATGCAGATCAAAACCACAATGAGATACCACCCAGTCAGAATGGCGAAGATTAAAAAAAACAAATAATGATAATTGGCTAGAGGGGATGTGGTGAAAGGGGAACACTCCTACACTGTTGGTGGGAATGTAAATTGGTTCAGCCACTGTGGAGAATGATATGGAGATTCCTCAAAGAACCTTCAAATAGAACTACCATATGATTCAGCAATTCCACTCCTGGGTATCTACCCAAAGGACAGGAGAGCACTCAGTCGGAAAAGCGCTTGCACATCTATATTCATTGCAGCCTTATTCATGATTGCTAACACATGGAACCAACCCAAATGTCCACAAACAGATGAATGGATTGAAAAATTGTGGCACATATACTCCATGGAATACTATTCAGCCATAAAAAACAACATGGCCCTGGAATTTGATAGAAAGTGGACAAATATGGAAGATTTGTTGTTGAGTGAAGCAAGTCAGGCTACGAAAGAGAGACATTGCATGTTTCCACTTAACATATACTGACTATCTGCACTCTATGGTAGAGACTGAAAGACTGGAGAAGATAAAAATATTAAAAATTGTAATGGACACTAGAGACAAAGTGGGAAGAGAGTGTGAGAGGGTATGAGTAGGAAATGTTGGGGGAAAATGGAGAGGTAAGACACTCGTGGGACACAGATAAGGTTTATTATCTGTTGACGAGGATGGGTATGGTTGTCCCAACTGGGCTGGACTGAGGTGTATATCATGCTGGGTAAAGTCTATTCATAATCTAAAAAAAAAACAAAAACAAATAAGAGACTACTATGTTCTGCCTAAATGAACCAGTAATTACAAGTCTAATAAATATATCAGGATAAAATTATTTAAAAAAAAAAGAAAATACATAAAATGTTGATAGAAATAAAAAGACAGCATTTACTGAAGGAGGGAATAGCATGAATAAAGAGACTCAAATGTAAAAAAAAATTAAAAATAAAGGATTACTTCATCCTAAATGATAATAATAATAATAAAGGGGAGTAAGCAGATGGTTACGTTGCTGGATTCTCACTTGCCTGGACCCAGTGGCTTGAAAATCACGCCAGGCACATGTGTGTGTACCCAAGATCCTGGGAGGAGAATGGAGAAGAAGGGATTGTGGCATGGCCTTCCCCTCAGGAGGTTATTTCTCATTTTCTCTCTCACTGTCTCTGTCACTCTGGCGAGTGCAAGTGCCCCAATGCTTTCTACATTCAGAATGAGTTCAAAAGTAAATATGCCCATTGTTAATTATATTCCTTGCATCATAAAAATGTGTTATGGGGACCAGCAGTTAGCGTAATGGCTATATCGCTGGACTCCCATGTAGTCAACAGCGGTTCGAGTCCCGGACCCGGTGGCTTAAACTCATGCCGGGCATGTGTACGTGCCCAAGATCCTGAGCAGAGAATGGAGGAGAAGGGATTGTGGCATGGCCATCCCCCCGGGAGGTGATTTCTTGCTTTATGTCTCTCTGTCTTCTGTCTTTATGGTGAGCACGTGTGCCCTATAGCAAAAACCTCTCCAAAAAAAGAAAAAAAAAAGTGTTATGTATTTATTTGAAGACACAACATCTTTATCAAGCTTTACTTTCTTGCTTTCATTTTATTGTGTGACCAGTACAAGTCTTTCTAAAACCATAGGTTATTTTCTCAGACTCCAAATAAACCCAATCTTGCCCAAGTCTCATTTTATGTGTGTGCATATGTCTGAAGTATGTGACTTTTTAGGCAGTTGTTGAAGCCAAGAAGCTAATCCTGAGAGGACTTGAGAAACCAGAGAAAAAAGAGGACGTCACGATGTACCTGCTGGCTCTGAAGAATGCTCTGCTCCCAGAAGGC